TCATCCGTGAAACAATCAATGACGTTGTCATGCACAAAATTGAAAATAAATAAATTTCCCGGGCCGCAATTAACTTATTGATAAAATATGACCGGGCCGCAATTCACCGTTCTTCAACACGTAAATGACATGTCGGGCCGCAACTCACCTATAGCCGTTTATATACCTATAAAAAAATGCCCATTTTATGATAACAATATAAAGTTTGGAATATTATAAATTATATGCAATTCACTGAGGAGGACATAAAAAATATTACAGTTACTCGATTTAATCAGGCCCTGATCGGAACCCATTTGTAGTGTATACTCTCGTATATAAAATAATATGCGTGTAATTTACAGTCGACGTCGAGGATGACTATAGTCTATACCTTTTGTTAAAATATAATAAATACGTAATAACTAGCAGGCATGCGTTTATCCTCGGTGTAAAATAAACGCCAGTGTCGTCCGTGTTCACCTCGTCTACAGTCGCACGGATTCACAAAATTCCATAATAGAATAATATTATATGCGACCCAGAAGTGAATATCAAAAGCTATAGTACGTGTCGTAAATCAAATTTTTTTTTCTAATCTCTCTCCCACTCCACGGGTGGTTATGTTCTCTCTCTCACCCTCTTTCACTCACACGCACACGCGTACACACTTTCAAATCCCTTTTACGTTCCGGGTCGTGAAAAACATCGGCTGGCCCGGTCGTATAATATACATACCCACGCGAGAGTGTAGTGTATGTGCGCCAGTCGTGCTTATTTATATATATATATATATATATATATATATATATATATATATATATTATGTATTTATGTATAGTGAAATTCCATTAACCCGTTACAAGTTAATGGCTGGTGCGGTCACAAAAGCATCCCTTCGTTTTCTAAACTGTTCGGAACACATGGCGCCTCCGTATATTTATATGTATGGCGGAAAAACGTTTATTTAAACACGATGCGCTGTCAAATAATCACTTGCACACTCTTTGCAGGACGTCATCGCGTCGTTGTCCGAAACTCTTAACACGTTTATTCTCACATGTCGGTTTCATGACGATTATTTTTTCGCCGCATTTGCACATCAAATCTATGTGAGAAGTAAACAGAGAGGATAAGGGCTTGCGAAAGTTTATGCTGTTTTTCCGACCCTCGCTCATTTTTTTTTTTTCTAATAGCTTTATTCAGGTTTTGACTGTGCATACAAATTCTGTAAAAACGGACGGTTGGCTTTACAAAAGTGAAAAATGTGGGTCATGAATTTTTCCATTAGGAAATCGTTACGTTCTATACGTTTGTATATAGATATATTACACAATAATATATATATATAGAAAAAAATATTTTTATACATCGAGTGAGTGGTTTTTTTGTACCCGGGGCACAGCGGTTTTTGTAACACCGGATGTGAAAAATGAGCTAAATAATCAAAAAGTTCCCGAAAAGTTAATATTGCTTGGTTTTAGTCTCGCAGGTAAATCCAACAAACCCCCCGTCGACTCGTAAATCTTCTACTGCACGACTTCTGAAGCGAAAAAACGCTATGTTTTCTTTTCTCTATCCATGAGAACCATGAAGCAATTGTTCTTTATGTAAAAACACCAAACGATATTGTCAACAAGTCTTTATACACGCCGGCCTTTTACCTAAATTTAATCATCGAGTATATTAATATCAAAATTATTTAATAGTTAATACGATATTGTTATAATTTTAAAAATTGTGTTAATAATTTAAACATTTTTAAATACACGAAAAAACTAAATAATAACAAAATTATAAATATTATAATACATTTTTCATACATTTATTTGATAATACAGTAAAGTTAATTATTAGTTCTAGTAAACTTCTTCATAAGTATGTAAAATGTTCAATGAATTTTTTTACTGAATTATGAATTAATGTGTTATTTTTATTTTTACTTCAAAATTGCGAACAGTTTCATATTGTTAAAGTTATTAAGTAGAATACCAATAAATAATTTATATTAATGATTAATCCATTATTTTATGAAAATCCCCCCCCCCCTTCTTCACCATCTGAAAAGTTATCAAAATACGCCACTAGTATAATTTAATGTGTTAAAACGTTATATTATAGGAACCTACATTATATATCATTTACATTTTTATTAACTTTTTATATTTATTACTTTTTATACAAATGTTATTTATGGCAATAAATATTAAACTATTGCTTTGGTTGCATAATTAATTTTAATGTTTTAATTATTACAAAAACATAAATCTTTTTTATTCTTCCTTTGATATTTGAAATTTAAAACATTCATATTATGACGTAACATTTTCAAATCGTATATTAATACATGATAATATATTTGGTTTTGTATTTTGTTTTGGTTCTATTTAGTAATTAATAAATGTTTTGAAAATTTTGAAAAACAAATATAGTAACTTGAGTAATATTATTAACAATATTCATCATTATACCAATCGTACTCATATTATTTCACGATTATATTTTCATTACATACTTGCAGTAGATTATAACCTTAAGACTTTAAAACTAATTATTATTATTGTTGATATTAATTCCTCATAAAGTAACTTTTAAATAATCTTTATTTGAATGGACGAGTATAATGTCGAATAGAAAATGTTGAATTCCCTTTATTAATTTGTATATTATTATATACTGAGTATTTAGCTAACAAATTTTAGAGAAATAAGAGCAGTGTTCGACCGACAACCATACAACAGCACTGCTATAAGAATTCTTCAACAGGAAAACTTTTACTTAACTTTTAAACTTTTGTGCACCATTTCGTCCTTGTAATTATAAGTACATTAAATTTCTCGTCTATATGAATTCGGTCTCAATGATGTATATCATTAACGTAAAAACTTTGGATTTATATCTATTCCACCAGATTCACTTTCGTAAAGATTCAGTATACTAACATACCCGTCTAACTTTTTGGATATTCAATATCAGAAGAAACATAAATTGTATTTATTATGTGAAATTAATCTATTATGTTTATCGTAAGTTAAGAGAAATATGATAACAAGTACAACTGGTTACTTTCACAAATAAAACAAAAACTAAATAACTGCAAAATATAGTAGTTTTGATTTTAAAATTTAATTTTTAATATTATAAAACCAGAAAGAAACTTGTCAGAAGAAAATTTTCAAAACTTTTTAATTCAACTAAAATCTAATTCCTTATTTAAACGAAATTTTTTATTTTACATTTATATCATTACGATCATTGTTTTTTATAGCATATAGAAATCTGAATAATACATAATAAATACATATAACATTTAAAAGTATATGTATCTCAACATTTAGAGGAGTATCACAAATAGTCAAATTTTCCACTTAATTCTATAGAATGTATAAAGTAAAAAATAAATAAAAATACAGAACTTTTAAAAAATAAAAGCACTTTTTTATCAAAATATCAGTTTTTACACTATATTTAAATAAAATTGTGTTTGATTAAAAATTTTATTGAATTTTATTTATATTTTTATAAATAACTATATTTTGACTGATTCATAAAATAATAAAGTTCAATTTATTATAGGTACCTATCTAACTTAATTAACTAGTTTTTCTCTTTAGACAAATCTATGATTTTAATGCTTGAGCTACAAGTTTTGTAGCTTATAACTGCCCAAGACAATGAACATTTATTATACTTTTAAAAAAGTAAATAAATATTATGCCTAACATTTCATTTGCTATTATCCTTGAATAAAATGTACATGTCAATTTCAATTACATAGTCTTCGTATAAGTCTTATGTTTGAATAAAATATTTTATTAAAAACCTCTATGAGAGGTTTACCTACATTTTATACAGTGTTGTGCATAATAATAAGCTTCATATTAGGTATTAATTTAAATGACTTATCTATGCATGCTATACTACATACTTATAACCACTTAGGTACTAATATGGTAAAAACTATGTATTAATATATAACTTAATTTAATTTATTATTTTAAATATTGTTTTACTTTTATTTTGCATAAATTTTAATTTTTATAATAATAATTGCTGTGCCGTTAAATAAAAATCGGTACGTTATTTTTTACTTCAAAATTAATGCATTTTCAATTTTATGATTTATTAATTTTATGTTCCTTTGTGATGCAAATTTGGACTCATTATTTTTAACCATAAAACAGTTCAACAAATCCATTAGCATAAAATTATAGAAATAGTAATCTATTTTTTATTGTTTAATTATAGTAACTTTACCATTACAGAATAAGGTTTGATGTATTCTTCTTTTTATTAATTAGATACATATTTAAATTTAATACGTTATGCTGCAAACGTAAAATTTCGATTTGTTTTTATATATTAACAAAATGTATAAATTAGTATTTATCTATAATTGTTTTATATTTATATTAGTTATTTATTGTTTTATTTATTACTAAAATTTAATTATAATTAATAAATAATTAATCTATTTCTACTTAATTTAAAAAATATATATATATTTGTTACAGTATATATTTCAATAACTAATTAATTAATATGTTAAAACGCTATTAATCATAGAACGTATTCAAAATAACTACATTTTTTTCATTAATTATATACGTATTTTATTATAATAATTATGTCGGAAAATATAAATAAACTTTTTAGTTGTATATCTCTAAAGAAAATTCTAATCAGTAGTTTTTTATAACAGCATTTTTCGTTCAGTTCATATTTTTAAAATATTTACGATTTCAAACTTGTATCATATACACGTAGGTATCAACGTTAATAGATAATAGTTTAATTGTAATTAATTAGTTTAATGTCAATTATACAAAGAAACGACTTCTCTAAAAAATTTTTTTTTTATAATATTTCTTTATGTTTTCTTTCTTTCTCGATTTTTTTTTTTTTTTTAACGATTATTAATCATTTTTAAAAATAATACTTGGCTTAAATTATTTAAAACTATTTTTTTTATACATTATTCAAATATTGAGCTAAATAATCATTTAAAAGAAATTTCTTACCAAAAAATAATTCAATAATCGCTTTATGCTGAAGACTTGATATGTAAATTTTTGAATTTAAAATCTTCTGCGTCATCTGAAATAGAAAATATGGTATACAAATTATAAATAAATTATAGAATGACATTTATTGAAATTATTATATTTATTATGTATAATATGGCGATGTTAATACTAAATCAAACATAAATTATTCAGTTATAAATCTATATAGAAGTATAGGACCACACTACCCTCATTTTTTAATTTAAGATAACTTAAAAATTTCAAAAATCAGGATTTGAGTTAATTATTCAGGACCTTATTTTTTTATATATAGTGTGAAGAAGTTTTCTATGGGGATACAAACTTCTTTTTTTAACGAGAATCACTGTTTTTATTGTAATTTATGAGGGAGATAATTTTTTTGAGAATATAATATGGTATTTATACATAAATCAAAATTTAAATAAATACTAAATAGATTCAAAGTGTAAGTAAACTTCAAGTTTAGCTTTTAAGGATAATAGGTTTAGAAAATATAAGGTTATGATGGTAAAAAAATATTAATTATTATTAATTTGTTAAAAAGTTTATTCAAGTTTAATAATTAGTAATTATTAGACTTAATATTACAATTAAATCTACTTTATATTTGATGTAAGACTATAATTAAATGTTAAAAACTTTTATTATCGTCATTCTTTAGAATATACTAAATACAATTTAATAACTCACAATGAAAGAAACTGTTAGTTAAAAATTTGAAAAAAAAAATCAAGTATATTATGTAATAATGTATAAGAATTAAGTATATTTCTCAGTAAAAAATAATAAATGTTTGACAGTGAATAAATCTATTTATTTGTAAGAATTTAAAGCTTAAATTGTAAACATTTAAACGATATGTAGGTACTCGTATATAATAAATTTGTTTACAGTATAAATATAATATTGCAATAGAATGTACGCCTCACATTCGATCATTTTGGTTGTAATACATGTAGTTATTAGACCACTCGTAAATGTTTGTGAATTATCTTTTATTGAAACGCACGCGGTTTTCTTCTTTTTTTTTTTTTTGTTGATACATCAGAGCAAAAGAAGATCAGACATCAAAGGAAGATGAGATCTACGAGTGTGTATAACTCAAACAGGTAGAAATTGTATTCTTTACTTTAGAATTCTCCGAAGCTTTATGAAAAGTTGGCTATTATATTATTTTGTCTAAGCGAATAAAGTTGAAGTGCGGTCGTATAATATAATATAATATTATAAAATCACCAATCTGCAGTTCTTTGATGTTGTTGTATGTACTACTGAATTGGGCTGACGACGTTGTGCGGAAGTCGTTCGATCGTGATATTACACTATATGTATATTATATTGTATATGTACCTACATACGTATCCAATACCTATTATTGAATATTATTTATACATTAAATACTTAGACTTGCAAGAAAATATCCTTAAAAATATAATGTGTTACCATTGTAATGTTCTCGGAAGAATACAATAATTTAATATACATGAATATTAGAATAGAAACAATTAGCTATTTTATTCTGATCTGGAGTAAAAACTGTCTATTAGAAATCTATTACATCCTATGTCTATAATTAGGGTCCGGAATTCAATGCAAAATGCATCTTTTTTAGGTTAATCTTAGACAAGCTTTTATTTTGCTTATTTCAATATTTTTTCATTTTTAGAACATATTTTAGCATTTTTAGGTCATTTATTTTCTTTTTTTAATGCATAATTGTACAATATACGAGTATATAATATGTAGTATTTATACGGCCATAAATTAAATATACTTAGAATATTGAATCTATGATACGACTTGTTTATCTTACAATTTATAAATCATTCTAAACATATGATATTGTTTATCTTATCTTCATTTATTATCGCCCAATCCATCGTTGCTAGTCACAAGTCAAATTATTCAATTTTCAGCTTTTTTTTTTTTTATAAAATTAAAATATTATAATAAATAAACAACAACACAATGATTTAATAAAAATGTATAAGTTATTTTTTAAGGGCATTTCCCCGGTAAAATATATTTTTAAAAGCATTTTTAGCTTTTTTAGAATATTTTTCAATGATTTTTAGTATATTGATATCCGGGGCCTATTTTTGATATTAGTAAACTTGTACAATATGGGTGTACTTCATGACGTGATCAGAGAATATTACCAAAGAATATTCTCATCCCCATTAGGTAAATACCTAGGTACTCAATAAGCATAATAAGAGTGATTCGTGGTTAATTTTTTAAATGTACCGGTAGCTGTAATAATAGCAAAATATGTATTATTTTTCTAAAAAATGTATAAACATAAAATAAATTGATATTATTTAAACTGAAAACTCGTATTTAAGTATCAAAAATCTCGAAAATTCTCAGTTTAATGTTTATCATAATTTATAATAATTTTACATGAATAGATTATTTATTTGACTATTTATAGCGTTATGTTCGATAAGCCGTTGTAATTATTATTTCTGCCGGGGTTGTGAAGTTAATGATGTCGCATTTCGATTAATTGTATTCTGAATTCAAAATGAGTGGCATACAAAATGTATTCAAGATATTACTAGGTACTTTAAACGTCTTTATTCGGTTAGCGTTTCTAACTATGTATAAATGCATAATATTACTGTTAACATATTTTTAATGTACCTACTTGCGGTATAATATTAATGATAGTCTCGGTCATATTTGTATTCCTATACGATATACAAATAATATTTTAATTGGAAAAGTCGCTTTGCAAAATTTCTTTAAAAAAAAAAAAGTATACATATTATTATCGCGCTGCACATCTCTCGCGCGGTCGCAGTTCAGCGCGAGTGAAACGAGCAAGTCCTGACCGATTTTTTTAGCGCGCGCCAATAATTCAAACTCATTACACTTCATAACATATATAATTTATTGATAGGTAACGATTGACGCGGTCTTATGTTTTTCTAGCGTCGCTGTCGGTGATGATGGCGGGCACGTCGTTGGGTTGGCCGTCGCCGGTGCTGGCCAAGCTGTCCAACGGCGGGCTGACGATGGACGCCACCAACGAACAACAGTCGTGGATGATCGCCATGCTGGAGCTGGGCAACCTGCTGTCGCCGATACCGTTCGGGCTGCTCGTGGACATGGTGGGCCGGAAACCGTGTCTGCTGCTCACCGGGCCCCTATACATCGTCAGCTGGCTGATGGTGTTGTGGAGCAGCACCATCGGCGTGCTGTACTGGGTGCGGCTGCTGCAGGGCGCGTGCATCGGCATCATAACCACCGTGGCGCCAATCTACATCGGCGAGATAGCCGGCGACGGCATACGCGGCGCGCTCAGCACGTTCTTCAACGGCATGCTCAACGCCGGCATCCTTTACGTGTACTGCGTCGGGCCGCTCGTGTCGTACGACGCGCTCACGTACTACTCGCTGCTGGTGCCGTGCGCGTTCCTGGGCACGTGCCTGTGGATACCCGAGTCGCCGTACTACTACGTGCTCCGGGACGACGACAAGAAGGCGCACGAGTCGGTGGCGTGGCTGCACGGTGACGCCGAGTCGGACGTGGTGGTCCGCGAGCTGATGCGGATCAAGGCCGAGGCCCGGGACGACCTCCGGGACAAGGGGTCGATGCGCGACCTGTTCGGGTCCCGGTGCAGCCGCAAGGCGTTCCTGATCGTCCAGATCGTGGCCGCGGCCGACGTGCTGTCGGGCATGACCACCGTGCTGGCGTACGCGTCATCCACGTTCGCGCACGCCGACACGGACAAGACGCTGTCCCCGGACCAGTTCACCATGCTGCTGGGCGTGCTCATATTCTGCACCACGTTCGTCACCGGTTACCTGGTCGACAAACTGGGCCGCCGGCCGCTGCTGCTGTTCTCGTGCTTCGGGTGCGGCGCGTTCGAGCTGGTCACCGGGCTGTACTACTACAAGCGGTGGGTCGGCTTCGAGTCGCTGGGCGCCTGGATACCGTTCACGGCCATCGGGTCGTTCGCCGTCATCTACAGCATAGGGCTCGGGCCCCTGGTTCCCACGCTCCAGGGCGAAATGTTCCCGTCCAACGTCCGCGGCCTGGCCAGCGCCATCACGTCCGTCACGCTCACCGTCATATCGTTCGTCGGCCTCAAGATGTACCAGGTCATCACCGACCACTGGGGCATACACGTCAACTACTTCATATACGGCATAGGGTGCCTGGTCTCGTTCCTGTTGATCTACCGATTCCTCCCGGAGACCAAGGGCAAGACGTTCGCGCAGATCCAGAGCGAGATCATGAACACCATCGACGACCGGCCGTCTTGCGGCAAGAACCGTCGTAAGCCTGTCAACGCCAACACCACCGTCGTCTAGGTTATAGTGCTGCAGCAGTATTGCCGATAAAATAATAATAATAATAATAATAATTTTGAACAAGTTGATAACATTATATATTGTATAATAATATCGTTTTCGTTTTCGCGTGTTTGTGTGTTTTTTTTTCTGTTCATCATTTTCTTTACATTTCATTTCTGTATAGTATTAAACTATTTATACGTTTATATATTACATTATTATTTATATTTATATATACAGCGATGACGACGGAGCCATTCCGCATTATTATGTAGGTACTGCGCTTGTACGGCGTAATATATATATATATATGTGTGTGTGTGTGTGTACGTTACACATCAAACGACCCCAGACGATCGTCGGCCAAAGGTACCTACGACTGGTCGGTATGTATATAGGAGGGGATGGGAAGAGTGGAAATTTTACGGAGCTAACGTGAGGTCGGTTTTCCTTTTTGACGTTTCGAACTCGAATCTTCCACCGTGGCGGCAAGCAGTGATCGATAAGATACGTCACCGTCGCATCACAATGGGTCCGAAAAGAGGCAGAAGGGCGCGCCATACTGCTATACTTTTCCTCCGCGTAGTTTGATTGACAGTTATCCTCTACTATATACACGCGATCACACGCACACGACAATATACACGCATAATAATAATACATATACATATAAATAAACGTACATCTGAGTCCCGGAGAGGGATAAAATTGCGGAAATTGCGTTAAGCTTTAGTTTGTTCCACAAACAACGTGCACCGGAGACCCTAATCAATCATAAATGATTTTAGCGACATGTTCGGTGAAGGAGACTAGAGCTGTTCCGTCTGCCGCTCGAAAACCGATCGAAAACAATTTCCATAGGTACGTCAATACCGCCCGAACAATGTTAATTTATGTATATTTTTATAAACCGAATGTTAAAATAATATATTAGCAAACATCGCTGTACCGTAACATACTATATTATATTATTATGTACATTTATGTATAACATATTGTAGTAGTTACTTTCTTATTGTATTTCTGTAAATATATATCCTATTATGTCACAAGATAAATAAATAAAAACATATATAAATAATAACTAACCGATGGTTTTATTTCGCGTATTCTTATGATGCTCATACAGTCGTACTATTGTAAATGTATATACTATACTGCGAGTAAAATACGTGAAAACAAGAAGGCGGAAGCTGCCTACGCAAAAATAAATACAACGAACAGCAGAAAGCATTGCAAATATTTTAACTATCACCAATTCGGTGTTTAATTTAGTGATGTCTTGCAATGCTCGTACGCCGTTATTACTGCAGTTTTGATTAAATATTGAATCGTTTTGGCGTGCGTGGGCTACAAGCATTCACGAGATTCCGAACAAAAGCTTCAAAAATAAGATTTATTTATTCGTGATTATGAATTAATGGGTTATTTCATTGAAATAAACCACGACAGCTTACTAAACAAACATTATTGAATAATAATGGTAGATAGGCATCATAAATATAATATTATTAAAACGTCTTTGCGAGCAAATAAAAACGATAAACTAACATTTGATTTATTTAATTTCAGTCGTTTCTCTAAGTACATAATATTATACATTTATACACGACGCAAACGCGCAATATAATATTTCACCGGGCCCTATACAATATACATTAATACCATGGCGTTTAAAATGATTACGAAAAAAAAAAAATGTTTTTATCAAGACGCAGATAATTATACTATGGCATTTAAAATGAAATAAAAAAAAAAAAAAACCACATTTAATATCGTGCAATTTTTCGTCACCCGTTCTCGATCTGGTGCCGCGAGGTATTACGGTAGAATCATTAAAGCGTTTAAAAAAAACACTTCTCGACGAAAAAACGTTTTCGGCCGACGGGCGTGTCGCGACTCGCTCGGCGCATTATCATCTCCGTCATCATAAGTGCCATAAACCACGATAATTATTTATCTACGAAAATAAGGATCATTATCACCCCAGTTTTAGATTATCACCGTCGTCGGCCGAAAGACCGAGCGTATTCGTCCGATCTGCGATATTGGGTACACGCGTTTAACATTATTTTACCGCGTACGTGGTACCACTGCGCGTAATGAGATCAGATCACGTCCGGCTGAAGCGGCAGCGTCGAATGATGATGATAATAATAATAATAATAATAATAACGATAATAACGTTACATGTGGCCGGCGTCCACGCGCGTTGCGCAGCGGTTTCTCGACGCACCGGTCATAATGCGCGCTTATTGCAACATGCCAATGTTCGATTAAATTTCGTCTCGAATTCTCGACGGTCGGCGCCGCCGCACGCGGACTATCCAACCGGCAACAAGCCTTGATCGTCTACACGCGAAACCGGTGTGTGTGTTTGTGTGTTTTGCGTCGTATGTGACAACACACACGTCGTTACACGAGCCACCTGCAGTAATCGTATCGCAGACGATCGGTGCGCGACGTCGGAATACAACGCCACAAAACGCGTGTCCGCGTTCAAACTACCAACGCTGCAACACGGACGGACTGAGCGCGTGTCGTACGCGATGGAGTGTTGTCAGTTCTCTTCCGGTTCGTCCAGGCAGATCGCCGCGTGCATTGTCGGTTCGTCGATTCAACTTAATAATTATTATTAATAATATTAATCGTGTTGCGACTCGTGACATAATATCATGGCCCGGACTTAAACGCCAAATTGCATTTTTTTTTTTTCATTTTTTTTCTCCAGAACAACTACGCGTTCCGAGTACATAATCCGTTTCGTGTACCAGTTGCTTCGAAGGCGACACTTTTGCTAGGTGTTTTCCCCACACTACGTTATTACCGTACGAACTTGTACACTAGATTCGGAAATTCGAAATTCTATTATAATATGAACCAAATGTGTTTTTCGCGAAAATCGCGTCGATAAATTTTTAATATATTTCATCTGTACCAAATGTCAATTTTTCTATTTATAAAATATGTGATAACGTCCTTATCTATCTACAGAGATTATCTAATTCGATGTCTTGGCGTCTTGCCGGTTCTCACTAAAATAACGACTAATTTACTAATTGTAGTTAAATTGCGATCGCGTTTGTTTATTATAAGCGCAAAAGTTCGATATTTTTATTTTTTGCATTGCTTTTTGTTTGATTAGGATAAAAAATGTGTTAAAAATGCATAAATTAAACCATCATTGCTTACCCCTCTTTTTGCCTGTCAAAATATACGAGTCCTGTTTAAGAGAATTATTGCGTTTAAAATAAATCTTAGCGGGCAATTTTGGTTATTTTTTTAAAGCATTTAAATCCGGGCCCTAATTAGTTATGATATTGTATAGGTATCCCGCAGCGGAATTTAACTTTTTTTTTGTAATTTACGTATTTTTATGTAGACCACAAACCCTTTAGAATATATTTTCAGGCAACTGATTTAAGTATACAAAGAAATTACCATGATATTAGTATTTTAATACGTAAATGTATACTTCGAGTCATTTAACGATTTCGTTGTTGTCCTAACCACCCCATCGGAAAACTGAAAATCGGACCGATTTTTCCTCATTTCACAATTTGTTATTAAATTATTTAATATGACACCATCAACTTCAAATCGTTGCCCGTGCGTACACGTGCTACAAATAATATTATGATACTTTACTTATACATACACGTATATACATAATAAGCATAATTTGTTGTTATTATTATTATATTTTTAATAATATTTTATTTAGGTAGGTATAAGGTAATCTAAAATATTTAATCTACATACATTTTTCTGGTTTATATATAATATATATACTATATTTTATATGTTATGATTATGAATAATAATTTAAACAGTGAAATAATAATCAATGATAATGTACGCAACTCGTATTATCACAATAAACATTCTACCATCTATTTTGCAACTTTTAAATCGGGTGCATACTAAGGTTATGGCGTATAAAAAACGTATTCACAATTATTCAACTGTTATAACAATTATTTATACTACAATCTACAGATATAGATATAATTTTACCGTTGGAGTAAAATTTAGAACTTATATTATAGAGTCTCAAATAATCTCTTTTATTTATCCTCCATCTCCGAATTTTAAAAAAAAATTTAAAGATTATACAAAGATAATTTTTTTTTTCAAAATATTAATGAGGTATTAAGCTTATTTTAAGTTTATTCGAACTATTTATATAACAAGTTAATTTTAGATTTTTACTAATGTAACTTAATACATATTAGTTGTGTTATTATACAGAATCAATAGATTTGAATTTGAATTTTATTGGTATTTCGATAAATTTATAAATCAAAATTAATAGGCTCCTAGTTTAATTATATTTTTATTTTATTTACACAACCGTATTTTAGTATCCAAGTTTTATTCGCCATAAGATTAAGTAATTACTATTTAAAATATGATGTTTTATCAAAGTAACGACCAGATTATCTCAATAAGATAAAATACATTTTTTCACATTATCTGCATTCTATACAACCCTATATTTTATAAAATATTTTGTACACACACACACACACATATATATGTAAATAATAGTTTATTATTTATAACGCAACATTATTTTATTAAATATCTAATTCAGTTTATCGTTACTTATTTCTTATGAACATATTTATTTTCACCAATTTATTATAATATTGAGTATTGACAGTTATATTCACATAATCTAAGTTAATCTTACAATTGAACAAATTAATACAATACCACATATGTGTATTATCTATTATACCTAACACCTAAAAAATTAGATATGCTAAATAAAATGAAATATACTGTTTCAGTAGTGCAACCATTATTTTTCTATGAATTTTCATATTTATTTATTATATTATAATATGTTATATTTGACGTGTCAAACGTGACGAAATGTCCTTTTAAATTGTCTCATAATTTTTTTATCATTATACAATTTCATTATTAGTTGATAACATATATCCTTGTTATATTCTAGATTAAATAAAGTATATCTAATAAACTATTTTTATGGCCTAAAAGAGGGGATATTCGACCATTTCGATCCATCAACGACCGAATACATGATTATACACCGTTTGGGAAAGTGTTTATTCGCTTTATTCACCAAAAATATTATTTGGGTGAATAATATTTTTTTGGTAGAAATAATTACATTCACCAAAAATTGTTTTCAGCTAATGATAAGATTAAAAGAGTATTGATATCGTTTTGCTTGTGCAAGTATTACGTTATTTATGCTTTAGATGGTTTTCAATTAATAGCGTACCTATATATATATTCTCTGAGAACGAGTATATACAATTTTAGGGTGAAAACTATGAGACATATCTATATTATTAACTATATAATTTCTTTCTATACACTAAATTAGCATGCAACAACATTGCTAGTAATAATACAAAACGCATTTAAAATGTTTAACAATAGATGTTCATTAGTATAAATATAAAGTGAGTAAAGTGAGATCCATTTATCAAAATTCATAAATCTGATAAGCTGACAGTTAGATGTGGCAAACTTTGGAATATAAGAACGATACGAGTAATGAAAACAGACACTTTCAGCAACTAGGAGAAAAAAATCTACATTACCCTGTTGGATTTAACTCAGCAAAAAAGTAGTTTGCTCGTGAATTCAACGATCGACCTATATGTAATGTGTGTGCGTGAAGTTAAACAAACTTGGCAAATATTTCCAAAACTTATCCCATGCGATTTAATCAACTAAATTTCACTTAACTGGTGATTTCAGTTACCAATCGATTAAATAGTTATATATACAGTAAAATTTCGTTAAATAGAAATGCATGTTAAACAATAGTATAAAATTATCAGAACTGGATCAAACATTAAATAAAAGGTTAATTATAACTATAAAAATATCAAATTTAGTATCATCAATGCAATTTGTGCATAGTGCACTTGTAATAATGAAATAATAAATTCTTACATTTTTAAAAACCAGTCAAAACAATTATTGTTTAATAAATTCATCGTATTTCATCATTTACGAAGTATAAAGTATATATGCTTTTATTTAAATATTAATTATTTCATAAATATTTTCATATGACTATATGACAAGATTAATTTGTGTTTATATCCCGATTTATTTTCAATGTATGTATGTACTACTGCAGATAGTTTAAACTGGTAAATGGTATGTTATATGCAACATTATAGTTAGTGTTTTCGTATCTATGTTATGTAAGCATGTTTTAAAAAACAATGAGTTGGAATAATTTGGTGTTCGGACAGTGTCTTCACTAAGATATTGAAACACAAATAAAATTATTGCTTTAGACGCATTTCTCCAAGTTAGGTCAACCTGGATATTGTACAATATTTTATGAATAATACGAAATCTCTCATTAAATCTCATTTAACATAATTTATCAATAAGCAAGTCATAATCATAACTTAACTACCCACTATTTTTCGATATCTCATTTGTATTGGGTGTCTTGTGTTAAAAGTAAAATATATTCTTCATTTTCAAGTTTAAAATTTCTAAAATTAAATTTACACAATAATAAAAGTTGTCACTGAATTAAAAAAAAAAAAATATTTATTGAATATTTTACATTTTACTTGTACTAAACAAGAACATTAAATGGATAATTGGGGAATCTTTTCAATATTTATCACTACATAATAGAATAATTGTAATTATTTTTCTTCAATTAATTATTATTTTTAATTTATTGTATTATTTGTCTTACAGACAATTTAATCACTTGATAAATAAACACTTCGTATATTACTATTTATTGTTGAATAAAACGAAATTATTTTTGGTTTTAAAGGTTATCGTCAAATAAATCAGAAATGTGCTTATATTTTTTTTTTTTTTTTTGTCGGTCTCGTGACATTTTGATTTAACGAGATTTAACTGTACATAATATTACATCAATATCCGTGTATTTGATCAGATGAAACGATTTATTAAATATTAGATGATGAATCACCATTGATACATTTTCACCCTCATTTTCCATTTTATAATAAATTTATTCAAATTATAATTTTTAGAATATTTAAGTGTACTTATAGGGCCATGTTGTAAAACACTAATTTTGTATACCATTTAAGAAGTGTCCTTAGGCGGTAATTCTTTTTTCAATTGATCATCAGCCTCGGTCTTTAGTAGACTGTTAAGCAAAACATTTTTTTGAAAATCTTGATAATCGATTTGTCTAAATCAATATTTGAATAAGTAGTTTTAAGTTATTGAGAAACAGAAATAAGTTCAATAACAAAGAGAATAATATTTTTTGAAAAATATGTAGTAATGCTGTTTTTCTTAAGGTCCTCCACATGCATAGGTATTGACTAAGCTTCTGTTTCTAAGCGTTGACATTTTGTGACCTTTAGCAGAGTATAAGGAACGCGCAGCCTATGTATTATTAAGACGTCTATGGTTACAGTAACATTAACGCTTTGGCCAGTCACCCACTTCCCCCCTCTCACCCGAGTGTTTGCCATTTATTTATTTTTTTTTGCATTTCCATAGCGTCGTTGCCTGTTTTCATGACAGGCATCGTGCTCGGATGGCCGTCACCAGTCATAGAATATATGTCAGCTGGGCAGGCACCCGTGTCACTGACGTCGGTGCAGATATCGTGGATGGTCGCGTGCATCGACATCGGCAACTTCGCCATGGCTTTGCCTGCGGGATGGCTGATGGACCAGATTGGGCGCAAGAACACGGTAATTGCATCCGCACCGCTCATGTTTGCTGGATGGATGTTCATATTGCTGGGCCGACATGTGAGTATAAAATAATAATATTATAATTTCGAACGCGTGTTTACACGTCGTCGCCAACATCACCGTCACAATAATCAATTATATTTAATACATACAATCTTACATTAATTTACCCCGTCGTTAAGTATATTATCTTGTAGTATTTCGGTCGTACTATAATTTTCGCTGTTATATTATGTGGGACACTATAAGTTTTTTTAGTGGAAGAGAGAAAGAGAGAGAGAAAAACTCTATATTGTAATTGCTTTTAGTTAGGTAAACTCATGTACGCACGGATGGTTGAATGTGGAAAAGTTAGGTCACCCGAAGGCAACCCGGTGACCCGTGTGAATCGATCTCCAATATATACGCATAAATCTCTAGAAACTTCCTATACATATGTTCGAATGTAATGTATTTCCAGAATGTAGAATGCAACACTCAGCTATCATCACTAGGTACGTTTAGAATTAAAAATAATTGTTAAGTTGTTTTTTTTTTTTTTACTTTAAATTATTGGCAGTGAAACCACACACTAATTTGCTAGAGGTATTTACTTCTAAATACTGTATACAGAGTGTTTAATAAGTTTGGATACAGTCTACTAGACTAATTGGGACTGATAAACGATAATATGATATACCTAGTTAATGAGAACAATGAGGTTATTAAACATTTTACATTAAAAATGTACATCAGTGTTATCTGTTATTGTTCCGTGTAGATTTTAAAATATACATACAGTAATTAAGTTTCCAAACTTATTGAACACCGTATATATTTTAACATACCTATAATAATAGAATATTAAATATATATGTATATATATAAATTATCATTATCATTTAAACTTTACAAAACTGATTGCAACATCAACTACACATGATTTTATTTTGTTGATATGTTACGACGAACTTGGTTTATAGATATGGAAGAATTTATAATAATTATTTATTTCAAATTATAACACTAGTCAATTAACTATTTTTAAATCTATTAAGAATGTTATAATATTACCGTTATTAGATAGATATAAATATATAATATGATTAATGATAAAATAATCAATACATATTATACAATTATAAAAACATTGAACATTAACTGAAACAATGTTTTGAAAAAATAAAATACTTATATGAATCTAAATTATTATAAATTATTAATGACCTTAAAAATGTATTTACTAATTAGCTTCAAATATGAGTACCTATGTATATATATGTATATAGTTTTATTCTCGGGAACATCCGTTTTAAAAATCACGCTTGAGATGTCAAAATTTATCTTTAAGCATTGTTTTAGTTTTGGACTGATTACATTTTTGTAGGCGATATAAAATATTTTTCGATGGCATAAAGAAAAAAATTATTCATATTTTGTAAAAAAAAAAAAAAAAGAAATTAAAACATGAACAATGAATAATAAAAACATTGTAATGACGTTATCGTGAAACAAATGCCGTGTGTACAGTGTAAAAAAAAACACAGTAGAGATGTAATATCGTAATAATCACAATAATAATTATGTTTTTAAATTACTGACATTTCCAGCACAATAAACTAAACCAGAGGTTCCCTAACTTTTTATGGCGTGGCCTATTTTGGAAATTATTTAAATTTTGGTGACCCACAATAATATTGAATCAATGACCTTTTTTTATTATTTTTTATTATTTGAGAAAAAATAACCATATGTTTAAAAATGTATTATTTACAAATATAACGCAACCCTCGACTCACTAAAAATATGATCACGACCCATTTTTTAGTCGTGATCCATAGTTTAGAAACCTCTGATCTAAACAGATCATCACTCGTAGCCAGAAAAATATTTTGATGGTAATGGTGGAAGGGGGGGAGGTTAAATTTTCAATTCTCTCCGACATAAATACCAACTTTTTGATTTTAATAATTCGATTAAACATAAGTTAAAATATGAAATGTGTTATTATTTAGTTTATTGAAACTTGTACCGTTCATCATTAAAAATAAATAAATATACTTATGTTTTAAATAATAAACTAACATTTCGGGAGGGGGGGGATGACCCGTTAATCCCACCTGACTAAAACTTTCGCTGTTTCTGTCATTTACAGTAGTAATCTGTAAAGGTTTAAAAAAAAGACAATCTCAATTATTATATACAAACGCGTCGGGAACGAAAATCAACGTCACTGTAGCGTTTTATTTAATAATACTGTAATGCAGAGATATTATTATATACGAAATAAAATATGATTCAACACGGTGCGATAATGTTTACAACGTTCGTTTGGAAATTCGCAAAAAAAAAAAATCGGACCGAGTGTATTATTAAGCGTGCGCGCTTTAATACATACACGACGCGGTAAACAGGGCCGGGTCGTTTGAAAACAGCGTTGTTTCGGGAAATAAAATAATTTCCATGTTTGCGGTACAGTGAAAATATTATAATGTGTTATTCTCGCCATACACGCACCAACACGCACACATACACATTACACATATATTATATTATACCGACCCAAACATTATAATAATAACAAAGTTACATGCTCGGTAATTTATTATTACAGGGGGGGCTGAGAGATTGTATTCAAACAATGAATATTAACGTCATATTATACGGAAACCGTTGTTTCCAAAATACGTCGTCGTCGTTGTCGTCGTTGCCGTTACCGTCTTTTTCTGATCCTTCGTGACTGCTTAAATGATGGATAATATAATAAAAATAATAATTAAAAAAAAAAAAAAAACGCGTCCAGGTTCTTCATATATTGGATTATTGGTGAGAATCGGCACTCGAGATTCGAATTGAATGTCATAAAACTATTGCAGTGTATTTAAATTATTCATTAATTTCATTGTTCATAAAAATGAGACCAACAAAATCATGTACAAAGAGATATTTATTACATGTGATTATATAAATATGTATTTGCACGTTGTTTATAGTTGAAGCGATATCTCAGTAGACAATCGTCTTTAACATAATGTGTGTTATCAAGTATAAAAAATACTTATTTCAGAATTTTTCCCTTTGCAAATATTTAGCATGTTACACGATTGAATCTAAAATTATCGTTTTTCATTTTTTTTTTCAAAAACCATTTTTATAACTCACCCCAACCCATAAAAGATTGTAATTCAAAACCTTTTCTTATATTAATATTTAGTACGTAATTAACATGAGTCTGGCATGACCATTTTCCAAATTTGTATGTCATTCGCCACCCACAAATATCAATAAATAATCACACATATTACACAAAAATAGACTCTTGAAACGGTCAGACAAATACGTAAATTAATAAATTATTAATAATAATGTTTATCTAAAACACATTTTAAAATTTAAATTACAAGTATATAAAATAAACCACACCAAATCAATCAGCTGTAAATTCTTTAGTAATTTATGTTTGTAAACTTTCCAGTCATCACTGGTTTGATAAAAAAACTGTAGGTATGGTTAAAGTTTTTAAGAATTAAATCTATAATTATAAAATTATAAATTTATCATATTCTGCGTTCCAGGCATGGTGCCTATTTGTGGCCAGGCTTCTCCAAGGGGCTGCCGTCGGCATCGCATGGGTAGTGGCTCCGGCGTACGTTGGCGAGATGGCCAACATCGTGATACGTGGCAAGCTCAGCTTGTTGGTTCAGCTCAGCTACGCATTGGGCCTGTTGTTTTCGTACTTTGCAGGTTGGCTGCTTGGCGATTACGTCACTCTGGCTATCACGTCTGCCAGTGTGTCGATCATCTCCGGCGTACTATTCCTGTTTCTGCCCGAGTCACCGTATTATTTGATGCTGGACGGCCGGCCGGACGACGCGGCCATATGCCTCTGGTCCCTACGGAGTTACACGGATGACGATTTACAAACCGAATTGTTGACCGTCAAAGATTCCATTTTAAACAACAGGTATATATAATATGTGCTGTGGACGCGGGTATAAGTGATGTTGCTTGTAGAAAATTTAGATTTAAAAGTGTTCATTCACTCTAAAAGAAACATTTTTAAAAAATTATTTATTGAATTTCTATTATCAAATTTTTTTATCGGGTTAATATAACAATTATCACACCTAGGGAAATGGAATAAAACACTCCACACGAGTAAACGGTATTTGTCAAGTTATATCTAGGTTTTTATTATCACGATAACTGTTATAGCGTACTATTGTCTATTAGTAACAATCGTCCGTAAACTGCATTAATATATATTACATATATATGCAAATCGCACGTGCCTACCTACTGTGTCGCTGGGTCCCTTAACAACTTTAGTGCTGCTGTCTTGTTTTCGAAGAGGTGTTTCTTTTTCGCCAATAGAAGCATCTGTATAGAACCTACATCAAATTCAGTGAACCCCGATGGGTATTACGTATATAGGTAGAGTACGTACACAAGAGTAGCGCGTATTCAACGTCACGGAATGCATCAGCATTAGGGATTTTATATTCCGCACGGACTTAAATGGCTTTACGCAGTTCATGCATCGCCCTTCGAATGTTCTTAAATATATATAATATATATACCATAAACTTCTCAAGTAAAATATTATACTTTATTTGATAACCCGTTTATATGTATTAGTGTCAAGTACCATATTCAAGTATTCAATACATTTTGGTGGTTATCTCCTACGTACCATACCCGGTTTGCATCAACACTGCTTATTATCATAATTAATATTATTAGTATATTTTTAATGCATGCTATGTCATATTATTATACTTTTATAAAAATAATTGTAGGTACCTAACCATACGTTAAAAACACATTTTCTGTTATTATTCGAGGTTGTTTTTCTTTATATTTTTTTACAACGCAGCTTTTATTATGTACTTATACCGTGACGTGTTTGTGAACTTTTTTTTAAAATTAATTTACCAGTATTCAGTTGAGATTGGCTCAACTATCTCCTAGGAGAATTGTGTTTATCGTTTCACTTTGTTTCGTTTCGTTTTTTTTTTCTTGAACTCGTCAAACGGTACACCAACAAAAAGGAAAGCTGGTGTAAATATTTATAGCAATTTCGAAAGATTTGCGGAAAAAACAACGAAAAATAAAATTGGTTTTCCCTCACCTGCACGTGCCACCATGAATCGTTTGGGAATTGTTCTATATATATATTTAATAATATGTACCAACAATCTGCGCGCACACGATATAATACACTTAAAGTATCGTCACCCTAAAATTATACAACGATATGATAATAATGTACAAATCGTGCGAGGCTTACTTGCAACGCATCTATTTGTCTGTATTCATATTATATCTATGTTGTATTGCGATAAATTATTTAAACACGCAATCTGCAACGCTAGTGCTACTGTAGTGAAATAAGGAGAAAATGCTAGAGATGAGACGGCTAATCTCCGCCCTAAATAAAAATCCGATTAAAAATCGACACCAATATAAAAATATCATATATTAATGCACATTACGCGTTTTAACTGTTTATAGTTGTTGCTTATTAGACTTGAAAAATTTAGTTGGGTTTACACTCAAAAACAATTATCTTCCGATCGAATAGGTATAACATTATCGATTTCACTAGAGTTTTTTTGTTAAATTACTTTAATTTTAATGTAACGTCACACTGTTGCTCGACTCTTTTCGTTATTTTTTACCGTTTAAATTACCTAAGGTTCGAATGGTCCGCAGTGGTGATTCTTGTGTAGAGTATAAGTAAACCCGCCTCGTTATTTATATCTATATATTTTAATATATCTCCTTGTAAATATTATTATGATAAAGCGCATGATAATAATATGTTTTTTAATACTATTCTGACAGGCAAAAATGGAACGTCGATGACCTGTTGAACAGAGACCATCGGCCGCTGGTGATCGTCTTGGTGTTGGCCGTGCTGCAAATGGCCTGCGGGGCTGGCGTGTTGGAAGCGTACGCGGCGTCCATCATATCGAACGTCCAAATATCGGCAAACGCGTCCGCCGTCTACCTGGGCATAGTCATACTGGTGGCCGCTGTGCCGTTCGCACTGGTTGTGGACCGGTCCGGTCGGCGACCGCTGATGATCCTCTCGTGCTTCGGGACGGCTGCCTGTCACGCGACCGTGGCAATCGTCCTCTGGTGTCAGGACGTGGTCGGCCACCGCTGGCTACTGTTGTTTTGGTCGATAGCCGGTGCCCAGTTCTTCATCAACATCGGCATTATGCCTCTGCTGTCCGTCATCCAGTGCGAGTACTTCCCGTCCGACACCCGGGCCCTTGCCGACACGGCTGTCGTGATGGCCGTCACCATCACGTCCACCGTCATGATTACGACTTACCAGCCGGTGGCTGACGCTCTGGGCGTGTCCACCAACTTCGTCATCTACTCAATCGCTTCCCTGGCCGGCGGCCTGTTCTGTTGTCTGTTCATGCCCGAGACCAAGCGCAAGTCGTTCGCTGAAATACAAACAGACTTCCGCAAGGCCGAAGAACGGCTCACCGACAACGAAGTCCAGAAACTTCGCGACTATCAGGAGATCTGAGTCGCGCGCCCGTCTCGTATTACGACCACTGCACAGCGTGTTAAAACGCATTCAAACGTGTCAAATCTCTTAATGGGGGGATACACCCGTTCAATAAACTATAAACAACCTAACCTAACCTACGCGTCATTCGTTGCGACTGAATCGTAAATTTCAACGCGATGACATCTGCTAGACGCCTCCGTTAGGTCTTGTGGAATTTTATACGGACATATTTATTAAGTTATTATTTTTAATTATTTTTATTAAGACGCGACGCCGATATGTATATATTTATCACTAGGACTGGGATTTTGATGCCATGATATTTTTTTTCTGGTACTTCGAAACGTTGTTCGTAAATATAAAATGTGTTTTGGTTGATACCGATTATTTTATTGTAATTTTTTTTTTTTTTGCTTTTTTCATTTTTTGATTAAATTAACCTTAATAATGCACTTATAGGGCATACAATAAAGTCATATTTGCATTTTTTTATGGGCATTTTTGAGGTTTTTTAGATTATTAAAATCCCAGCCTTATCACCATAATTTTTGAAGTTTTAAAGTTAGATGATAAATGACAATGGTATTTTCAATTTCATGGTAAGTATTTTTATTGGTACATTTAATATGTATCTTATCCTGATCTAACTATATCGCGTATTAGTATAGTTAATGAGTTTACTGTTAGTCTAAATTTTAAATATGATTATAATCTCAATACTATTCATTAAAATTAGTATTTTAAGCTTTAAATATTTAACAATAAGCGGCTGTCAATATTTTCAAAAAAATATTCTCGTTTAAAATTACAAAAGATTAAATCCTTAAATTCAAAAATTATAACAATTTAGTATTGAAAAAGTTTTTTATAGGAATTAATACTAAATAGACGTGTACTTTGTTTATGTTACAAAATATATAAACTGCATGTTAATAATCTATATTTTATTTATACTTAAGTGAATATTATTGATAAGATTATTTTAATATATCGTAATTTGTAATTCAAGAATATTGTAAACTATGCAAAATAGTATTAGGTAATTGTATTAAATAACATTAAAAAAAAAAAATTATTATCGTGGAAAAAATTTAATTATTTTTGTACATAAAGTACAAAGAGAATAAAATATGAGTATTACGAGTAATATTGCTCTCATAAATTATTATTACGATATTATATTCATTATCCATCTAAATAACATTGTTAAATAAAAAGTATTTTTGTACTTAAAAATCCAATCTAGAGGTGCCTAGATTCCAAACATTTAACAGCCTAATGAATAACTCAAAATTCGATTATATATTAAAGTACTATAAAATAAAATCAAAAAATTAAAACAATAAAATGTATATATGTCTGTCATATACTATATTAAAAACAAATTATTATTTATGATAAGCAATATTTAATAAAATTATTTTAAGTCAAAAACAAGAGTGTAATGCTGTAAATTCCGTCGTGAACATCAATAATAAATTTATTTAAGTCACAAACATAATTGTGTGTGAAAGTAATAGAGTTCTTTCTTTTGTACAAATACAATAATAATTCTATTTTTTATTTTAACGTAGTTTTATGTTTCTAGTATGTAAATTTATATTTTTTCTTACATTAATGTAACTAGGTAATACGTTTTTTTATATACAGATTTATATATTCACCTGTCATAAACATAGACGTGCGTACAAAAGCAGCATATGCTACCCCTGAATTTTTTTTTTCGGTTACAGCGGCTATTATAATATTTAATTCTGGGCCTAGGTAAGTTTTATCTCTATAAAGTTATATTTACACAAATTATGTACATCATTGTAAAAAACAATTATTGATTATAAAATTATAACTTAAAAAATAAAAATCCAATAATATTTTTATCAGGGACTGTATTTTTAATTATAATTATTATTACAGAATATAAAAATTATTATCATAATATTAATATTATCGTCAAAAATCCGAAAAAATTGGGTTTCTTTAAATTTCATCTTATTTAATTAAACCTAATTAAATCAATTTAATTTAATTTTTGAACCCTAAAATAAAAAAGTGAAATTATTAGCTTTAAATCATGGTAAATCTGGAAAACCTTTATACTGCTGCCCCCGAAATCGGAGTCTGCGTCCGGCTATGATCATAAATCATGTATACTGTGTAAGCTATAATAATTTCATGAAAATTCAATTACGTAAAACAAAACTTTTGTTTTTATTTTTAACAACATATTTATACACATTTTTTCCGACACGGCACCGCAAGGCGAATATTAAATATGATGAATTTTCCTTAATATTGAAAGTAATTTTATAATAAAACGAATACGTCATTTTCTATATCTTTGTTAAACTTTAAATTCATGGAAAATGAAATTTACAACGTTTTACATAGATATATTAGGTACACATAATGCTTACTGTATATAATATAAACAAACGTAAGAACTTTATTTATGAATACACATAAGTTATTATTTTAGTCCCAATTTACAAATCACAAGATAACGTTGCGAAATCCATCTTCGAAACACTTCGTCGGTATTTACTATGCAACGGTGACGGTCTATCTACATTTTCTTATAAACATTTAACACAAAATTCAATACCGCGAAACATAATAAAAATAAATACTAAACTGCGAATAATATTCATTACTGTGAAAATTTATCATACGTACCTAACCCTAGAGTGGTGTAATAATAAAGTTCGCATTACGTGATTCGATTCATCTCAGATTTCCATTCATCTAATGAATATATCCTTCGATTGCTTAGAACTTATCGTCCTATAATAAATATGCCTAATACCATTTAAGACATTAACAAAGAAAAATTATAAAACTAACGGTGTAATATAATAATATATGAGTAATAATTTGTCATTATTTTGGAATCCAATTACGGTTATAAATAAAATAAATCATTTTTTTTTTTTTTTGTTCTGCTTGAGAAAACAAATTAATTGCTTTTCAACAAAAACTTAGTAGTTATCATAGTATATATTTAGGATGAAAATTATTATAAATTATTATTATTATTATTATTACTAAACATAATTAAAATGTTTTGGCAAGGTTACCCCGCTCAGCAGTTGATAAAAGTTATTATAAATATTTTGTACATTTCAAATAAGATATTTTAATAAGAAAATGTTAATTTTATTATACCTACGTTATGACTATAAACATTTTTTATTTCATTGCTATCTTTTAATATAATTCCATTATTTCCGGTACAATTTTCACTCAAACATTTATTGAAGATTAAGATTCGGCAACACTACATTTTCTTGCTGGACAAATGAAATGCAGAAAATCACTTGTCATTCGTATTTAACAATACTGGATCGATATAGGTATATTGAACTGAAAATCGTAATACACATTTAACATAAAATAAGGTGAGTTAATGAAAAATATAATAAAAATATTTTTGGATATATTAATTATAAACATCATTGTTGTATTTCATCGTCTAATAGATTTTATATAAACAAAATTTAAAAAAAAATTAATAAAAAACACTGAATCACACAAATGACGTATCCGGATACTATGTTTATGCGTATTTGTCATTATATATTATTATTGTTATGTAAATTAGTATACCTATAATATATTGAAATTTTAATCATTATTCTAAAGTAAATACAAATTACAATTTAATATGTATACACCATTTTAGTTGAAGACATTTCATTATAATCGAGTTATTTAATTGTTTATAAAACAAATTCTTTTTTATCGGAAAACAATTTTATTACCTACCTACCGATATAGAATATAATGGGAAGGAGTACCTACTATATATAATAGTATAATATTATTGCTTTGTTGTTCTTATAATACTATTATTGGCGTTTTTTTCATCGACTGAATCATTTAAAAATTGTTTATAAAATTATAAATCTGTACTCAGAATAAACTAGATAGGTATTATTTTATGATTTATAAATTAATAAAATAATATTCAATGTATAGTATGATTGCATCATATTATGATAATAATATGTGTAATACTATAATTATGTGTATTAACTATAAACACAATATTTTATTCAATATTTATAAAGTATTCATGAAATAGATCACCGAGAAAAATCTGAATTTATGGGTAAAATAGTATAATAGTCATCTTTAAATTTAATACGAATGAACAGTAAATAAAATAATATTTTTTTAAAAGATAATTAGAATTTTGATTTAAACTAAATAATCATGAAATCAATCGAGAGTATATCGCATGTTTAAAATGCATAGAAAACCATATACCTAACTTATAAATGTAAATAACATATATTAATATTTGAAATATGAAAATATTATTAAAAATGTTCAACGGTCAACGACTAAAGGTTATTTAAAATTAACATATATTTAATACAGTTATAAATTGAATGTTTATTATTCTAAAAATTACTAAACAAATAAGGAAATAAAAATATATAGGTAATGAATAATGATGAATAAAAGAAAATACACATTTTCAATACTTATAACAGTATCAGTATAATAATTATAACTCAACTATTTATTACATTTCATATAATGAAAGAACTTTATGATATATACCGATTAATCATGTTCCACCAATGGGAACTTGCCCATAAGATTTAATTAAAATTATAGTGCCACTATATCTATTTAGTCTAGACTATAGAGTGGTCAGATTAAATTTTACGAAATCCGGAACACCAAAATTATAAATTATTATTTATAATTTTTTCCTTTACCTTTTCAGTATGATAAATCTGTTACCTGCACAATATAGATTAAGAGTTTATACAATAGACGTTACCCGTTAATTGGGGTATTAGGTATAAAAAAATATTAAAATTATTCAATTAAATAAAATTATTAATTTATTTAATATTGTCAAATCTAATATACACAAGTAAATTTTTTGTCGTTTAAACATTGACGAATCAATTCCGATGTACAAGGCATATTAGAACGAGAGCTTTGACTGAGAATTACTGTATGATACAGAAAAACAGCTTCGCGGGTGACTAACAAAAAATCATTTTAAGTAGAAACCGAACCAGAAAAATTGTTGGAAATCTTACCAGATTGAACTAATGATCATGTAGTCAACTTATGTTTTTGCGTTTTGAAGTGATCATTTAAGTCCGATCGTCCACCTTGACTTAATAAAAATGTTTTATGGCAAGTTATATACTGTACTTTGAAATCGTCAATAAGCTTAAGTTTTTTAATAAACGGGAAATAATTTTGCCATTTCTCATTAAAACGACAGTCTTTTTAGCATAGTCACTATGTAAAAAAATGAACTGAATAAAATCACGACACTATAAAATATAAATACTTAAAAACCTGTGGTAGATTTCACAGTCGCATACAACCAGTGTTGACGGCATATAAATGCATACTGAGACTACTGGAGCATAAACTAATAAACTATACATATTAATATATTATCCTTCGTAATCACAATTCTCGAAATTCATAAATCATAACATGGTGTTTCCCGATTGTTAATGTAATCAGAAGTTTAAAGCAGTAAGTTGCCTAAGTTTAAAAAAGCGTTTATTACTGTCATTGTCATACATTCTGACGTTTGTTGTCAAATATTGTTTTAATAAATATAAATTAATATTTACGATTAGGTTTTATTCAATAATAAAACCGATAACTGAGTAAGTAAAAGAACTATAAAAAAAAATTTTAAATTCCAGGACATTACTATGTAAAAGTCCAAAACCAGTACAAATTGGTGTCCCGAGAAATTTTGTCCGGGACGCTAAGACATGTATTCCTAAACCAGCTACGTCCTAGAAAATCTGGGACGAACGGCCACCCTAAACTAGCTTAGCTACCTGTTAATAACTAAAATACTATAAAATATATAATTCTATGTATATGAGTATTATATAATATTCGCATATTTGTAGATAGTATTAAAAATTATTTTTTATAGAATTCATTTATTTATTTATTTATTTATTAAAAATCAACTTTATTTTGTACATATTATTATCATATTGAAATGATTTATTACTTCTATATTAATAAAATAAATAAATGAATGTGCGTTTGATGATGTTCGATTAGATTATTCTGAAAATAGTTGTTGAGAAAGAACTATTATAAGCATGAATATTTAGGTATGATATCAACATGACTGCATTCACGATAATGTCTGCACATACTTTATGTATCATTAATTATGTAATAAATAAAAGATAATTCACATTTTTATGTTTTTTATCTAGATTAAAGGCTACTAAAGTAATAACTTTACAACAATAAACAGAACGATTTTTTAAAGCTGAGACGTAAAGTGTTAAACATCAGTTATCTAATTGACTATTTGTTTAATAACAACTATTCATCATTTATATATATATTTAGATATTAAAATTATTTATTGTAATATAATACCAAAATCAAAAGTCACCATAAATTGGAATATATACAGTCAATAGTTTAGGTATACTTAAAAAAAATTAATATTTTATTTGAAATGTTAAAAACAATATAGTTTGTTGTAGTCCAATTACATAGTTCGGTTTTCCAACTAGAACCCACTTTTCTAGGAGTACATCCTAATCATTTCTTATTGAAGAGAAGGTACTGGTCATGAATTTAGTAATATTGATGATTAAATTAATTATTATATTTCATCAATGCTAATAATATATACATAAATAAATCATATGAATTTTCTACTACCTATTTTAGATAAGTGTAAAAAAAAAAAACATAAAGGTCGTCCCAATGAACGAACATTAGAAGAAAAAAATTAAAATAAAGATAGTATAATATTTCTTATTATAAAAGAAGGAAATCTAATTATATATTGTGATAGATACTCTGAAATAATGCTAGCATATAATTAATAATTTGTTAACTATACACTTCACCATTTTACATGTAACTAACATTTAACTCTTTATCGAATTTTTTCATTCATGTTTCATGTATTTCTATTTAAACCAATTCATTGCATTATAAAATAATTTATTGTAATAATAAATATAGGTTTAATATGATATATCATTATTTATTATAATACTGTAGTATATTATCAAATAAGTTATTATTTATTTTCAATATTTTTTTAAATTGCTTTCAGACGATATTATGTATTTACATATTGGAATATTACTGATTTGTAATTAAAAATGAATTCAGATGTTTATGATTTGAAATTTTGTAAAAAAAAAATTATATTTTTTCTGTGAATTTTTTTTAAATTAATAAATTATTTTTCAAAAGTCAAATATGTTGTTTGAAAATAGTGATATTTTAGTTATAAAACAGTTATATTAAAAACTAAGATTGCCGGTAAAGCATAGGTTTAACGAATAAATAAATAATTATATAATTTATAATTAAAATTAATTCAGTTACCTATTTTAATTATAATAAAAATTATCATAATATTAATAATTTTCATTTAATAGTTAATAATTTTAAATACGGCTAAAAATATTATCAGTGGTTTAACAACATAATAGTATTAATAGCTTGTAACATTAGTTGATCGTCTAAAGACTATACAGAGTGGTCGTCGGATTTTCACAAAAGGTTAGCACGCTAAGACAAAAAACACGTTGGTAGACTTTGTATAAACTAAGAATACAATCTTCAACAAACATACGACTAATTATAATTTATGACTCTAACTATACCCGGCATGGTTTTTTTTTTTTTTATCAAATTTATTCAATGGCAAATCTTAGTTTACTTATACTAGACTAAGTGAACTAAGCTAAATGACTAACGTTTCTATAAAATAAATACTAGAATTAAATAAATAGATACCTATATGCCAGGAGCGGCTAAACAGTCGTTCGTGATCGACCGGTCGATCGCAAAAGATTTTAAAGTCGATCGTGCTAGAATTTATTTTTAGGCTACGCACGCGAAAATTAATTATGGTGGTATAGTAACTTAATAATAATAAAAACTTTTTTATCGAAGTTGATCCTCAAAGGTAAAGTATATTTTTAGTAGATCGCGGCCGAAAAAAGTTTGACCGTCCCTGCTTATACCATGAATATATATAGTACGAAATACCTCACTTTTGACTAAATCCTTCAAGTGGTTATTTATTATTAGTGATTTTTACGTTGATTTTGAGGTACTTTTGAGAATAAATTAAAGGCTCAATACTATTGATTTTAACAATACATAAATAAAAATAATTGTATTATTATTATTGTTTATTACAGACGAAACATTTTTTACTCACACTATGTAATGCAAAATGATAGTTACATAATATTATATCATACGGCGGTATACCTATAGAGTGTCTTGACGACATCAGTAATAATTCTAATATTAACGATTACACATAAGCAGTTCGTCAAAAATCATGTAATATAATTATTATCATGTATATTTTAAATTAAGGTTTACGTGTTCACATCGAATGCATATATCAATCATTATTATTTTTATCCAAATTTTCATAAATATAATTAATTTCAAACTTTTTTGTACCGTTCATTATATTAATGAATTGTTATACAATTGATAATCATGTTTCATTATTTTCAATTGCCTATACAATTCAACGAATTCATATATTTTTATGTTACTATCGATTATCTTACTAAAAATATAAAAATCGTAGGTTTATATTTATAATATGCTATTTCTATAATATTATCTTGGCATATTACAACATTGAGCAATTTATATGTTTTTCAAACTTTCCGTAAACGCGTGCTCATATATAATGTGTATGTATAATATATACCTTCAAAGCGTACTGACATGAGTATACACTAATATTTTACTAACATCATAGTCCTATTTACGGCAAGGCTTGAACAAGTTTTCTCTGTTTAACTTAGGTATATAGTATAAAAAGTATAAAATAACATATTATTATAATCTCATTTATTTTTATTGTTTATTTTTTTTTTCAAAACACCGACAACAACAACGAGAGTGAATGCGGATCGAACTCAAGCGAATTGCATTCGTTGTGTCTAATATACCAATGTGGTTAGGTTAGCGAATTCTATTCGTCCAGTCGCTACGATGCTCATTTTATAATTATATACATATTAGTATTATAGTGTTGTGCGATTGTGTGAACGGGAATTAACGTTACCCGCAGTTGTAACGACGTGTCGATAACGAAAAGGTCAGTTCATCTAATTTATAGATTATACACCGACGGATATAGCCGTTTTTATTTTAGAAACGTTATATTATTTCATTTTAGTATTAACAAACGTGCACGCCGAACGGGTTGATCGTTTATCGGTCCGCAAAAACTAAAAAAAAGTTTATTAAAATATTTATGGTGTAAAAAGACCATAAATTATACCGTAACTATCGTAACACCGAACGATACGGCCCCTTTGGAAATTAACAAAATGTCTACCCTACCCGACGGCATCTGCAAACAACTATTCGCGTGCTTTATAGGTATGTCCCGTGTGCGGTACGGCCGGATTTTTGTCTAATTTATTATTATTATTATCATTATTATTATTATTATTATTATTATTATTATTTATTGTTACTATGCTGCTGTACGCCGACACCATAATTAATAAAAACAAAATTACACCTCGTCCGTGTTTGATTGCCAGTGTCCATGCCGCTGTTGATGGCCGGTACAACGCTGGGATGGTCGTCGCCGATGATGGAATACACGTTGGAAGGCACGGCGCCGGTTCACCTGACCTCGGACCAAGAGTCTTGGATGGTAACTCTGATAGACGTAGGCAACGTACTGCTGTCGTTACCGGCCGGTATTATGATGGACCGAATCGGCCGAAAAATGTCCGTGTACTTGACGGTGCCGATAACGCTTGCCGGCTGGCTGTTGATACTGACCGCTCGACAGGTAAGAAGAACACGCGACGTATTATTTTTACACCGTCGCGAAACCCAACCGATCACACGTTTTCGATCGACAAACGCGTCGTCGCCGCTGTGTACTGCGACGGGATCGGTTTAACGTTGCACGCGTTTTACATAATATTATACTCGCAATGACACTCGAATAATACATATTATATTGATGTTTATATATATATATATATTATTAATTATATCAATCGGGTTAAATCGATCGCTGTGCAGTACACAAAATTTATTTGGTGATGAGAAATTCGTGTTACAAATCTCGAGCGAGATATCGCCGCCATTATTGTAACACCGATATTTCGCGGTCCTCCGTACATTAAATACCTACGCGTACTTCCGGCGTCATAATAACAAACGTGTACTTGACATTGTGTGTGTACAGCCCTGGCACCTGTACGTTGCCCGATTCTTGCACGGCAGCGCGATGGCGATCTCGTTAATCGTGTCCCCGTCGTACGTGGGCGAGATGGCCAGCATATCCGTCCGGGGATCGTTGGCCCTGGTGGTCGAGCTGACTTACGCTTCCGGTCTGTTGCTGTCCTACGTGGTCGGGTGGATCGCCAGCTACGAGGTACTGGCCATCGTCGGCGCGATCATACCGGTGGTCACGGGCGTGCTGATGATAGCCATACCCGAATCGCCGTACTACCTCATGATGGTTGGCAAACCGGCAGAGGCAGCCCGATCGTTGAGGAGGTTGAGGAATTGCAGCAACAAAGAGTTCGAGGAAGAGCTCGAGATCGTCAGACTGTCGGTCACCGATGACAAGTAATGTCTAATAATAGTAATGATTAAAAAAAACAACAATAACATTATACGCGTGCGAACGATGTCGCCGTTGGTGTAGTTTAAAAATTCTTTGAATTAATGTTTGGAAACCGTCACGACTATACAGTCATGCTTAACCTAAAATTGGCATTATCGACCGTGCCCGATTATCAATATTAATATTATAATACTGATCACCGCGTAGTCTGCAATTGTAGCAGTGACGGCTCTTCCGCTTGCCTTAAAATAAATTATTACAGCCCCACCAATTTCCATATAAATTTTAATTTGGCTGAAAATATTGATTTGTCGAAAAACGGGTTTTAAACAATTTTCAATCCGTAGGTAAATAGTAATAATTATGTTGTAGGTACAATCGATTATTAATCATATGATTGCTAGTTTATCGTCTTATCGCATTAATTCATTAAATTTAATAGATATAGATATATTGTCAATTATTAAATATTAAATAAAAATAAAAACCCCTTAGTAATCACCGTAATCAATTCACGGAGTGTAAATATTTTTTTTATTATTTAGAATAATTTTAATTTTTAAACCCATCTAATAAGTCTTGTCATTAAATTGATGTCATACTTTAAACATATGTTGTAATCCATATTATATAATATACTGATTTCAATATAGGTGCCTCATTAAACTTAGTTTTTGGCGTAGAAAATTAATAACAAAATAATTTTAAGTTTAAATGAAAATAAAATTGATTTAATAAATTATAATATAAGATAAGTATTATACCTTAGTATTTTCTCAAACCAAACTTATGCAGTTTATACAATCATGACGTAAATAATTTTAATGCCTAATACTAGTGGCAAGTGACGAGCCGAGTTCAATGTTGTGCCTACAATAACTAAAACATTCAAGTTTCATCATATTACATTATTACAATAGTTTAACATTTCGTGATTGTGTTATATTGTCGTTGCCGTTGTATATTTACCGTCGCGATTCGTTACGGATGCGCGATAACGTCACTTGGACTATTATTTGTCAACCGATTATATTAAGTTCTAACTAAAGGTCATAAACTTTCGACTTGTGGATCTTGTCCTGTCCTCGAACCTTAGTCTCGCGGCCATTATTCAAACGTTAAGTACATTTAAAGTTTGATTCTCCTTCAACTAACGTTTGAAAACTCAATTCTCGAAATCGCATTGCGCACATTTTATAGCATAATATTATTTTTTAAGAATGATCTTGCTAGTTTGGAAATTTTTTACTATTGTTCATTATGTATTTATGTGATACATTTCTTCGTATTAATATGTATACAAAATTATTTCAAAAGATATTATTTTCTATGATGACATTCACATTTACTAACAAAATCTATGTATATTACTCCAAACATAATAATATTATATTATGTCTATAAATTTGTATGAAAATATAATCAAACCGTTCAGTAAATAAATGTTTAAAATTATGAAATAAACAATACAAAATTTAATACGTTTAATATAATATTCAATAAGTGTTATTGCCTAGTTTTGGTGTAATAATAATATAAATTAATATTTTTATACTAAACCGTGGTCATGACTTCTTATATTCGCTACCTACGTCAATACTACTTGTTAAATCAAATCATTAATTAATTTAATCTGTGTAAATGTATAATGAATTAATGCATTTTATTTTTATAATCTATTTAGTAGTCTAATAGATAGACTTAGTCTCAAATATACTTGTAACCTCGATAAACCTCGCCGATATAAAGTCTGTAACACATGATAATTCTTAGACCATATTAATTGCATTCAATTTAAGGATCAAAATAGCCCGAACGTAATAATTGCACTCGTCATCACGCTATCGCTGCGTTAAATGATTATTAATTTTTATCTTTTATTTTTTGCCTCCCCGCAATCAAAATACCTGATCGGTACAATATTATTTTTGCACTCGTTCACACCGCGTTGTCGTCGTTGTCGTCGTGTTGCAGATGCAAGGGAAAGCTGACGGACCTGCTGCACAGAGACCGGGCGCCGCTGATCATCGTCCTCACGTTGGCTGCCCTGCAGATGATGTGCGGGGCGAGCGTGATGGAAGCGTACGCGTCGTCCGTGCTGTACGGCACAGGCCTGTCGCCAAACGCCGGCGCCGTGATATTCGGCCTGTTCATAATGGTGGCGTGCGTGCCGTTCGCGCTCACCGTGGACAAGTACGGCCGGCGACCGCTGATCATGGTGTCGTGCGTGGGCACCACACTGTGCCACGTGTTCATAGCCGCGCTGCTGTCGCAGGACAATGCCGTCGGGTCCACGAAAGCCTTGGACGGTTGGCTACTGTTGGCCAGCGTGTGCGGCGCCGAGTTCTTCATCAACGTCGGGCTCATGCCCGTGCTGTCCGTCGTCCAGTGCGAGTACTTCCCGTCGGACACCCGAGGCCTGGCCAACTCGGCCGTGGTGTTCACCATCACGTTCACGTCCACAATCATGCTAAAGATCTACCAGCCGGTGACGGACGCGTACGGCAAGCGCGCCAACTTCATCGGGTACGCGGTGATCACCTTCCTAGGCGGCCTGTTCTGTTACTTTTACGTGCCCGAGACCAAGGGCAAGTCGTTCCTGCAGATCCAGACGGACTTCGAGACGTACGATTGGTGCAACGGCAAGACCAGCCGCCCGAACTACGAGCGGATCTGACCGGACGTCCGGCCACCCACCCCTCTCCTCCTACACACAACCATTCCGCGGCCGTCTGTAAAACCGAAAGTGCGCCGCATGCCTGCCCTCTCGTCAATAATGTTATACTTTGCATGTTATAATATACGACGTTAGTTGATAATGATATAATGATAACGATTTTCGGGCGGTGTACCTACGTTTAATGGTTTCGCTTGTGTGGGTTTTGGACTTGAGACGATCGAGACGACTTGAGATTTACATTAAATCGTTGTTTAGTTGTTATAATATGTATATACGTCGAAGTATGCCACTGCAATAGGTTTTGTTTTTTGTTTTAACTTTTATACTTTTTTTATACAAGATTCGAAGTGTGTATATGTATATAGTATACATTGACGTGATTTATTGTTTTTAACTTCCGTGAGGTACCTAAATTCATTTTCCTACATGTTTACTATACGCGCTTAAATCGAATTACAATATAGTTAGCAGGACGTATCGCGTGGTGTTAGTACTCTATCAAATGACGGCCAAAGTGAAAACATCGGTCAGGATCCACATCACGAGGTAAAAGAGGTAAAAGAACAAACGCCCCGATAACATAAAATTTAAGTTATAATGGAGATTGTGAACAATTTATACGATAAAAAAAAAATACATACATACATCGAAACCATTTCATCGCACAATATTTAATTTTATCTGCATATTCAATTTACCTTAGAATATTAAAAAAAAAAAATTGTCATTACGGCAGGTCAGTATGATATTTTTTCTTGTGTGTATATAACACCACTTACACGCGTTTCATACCTACCTTGCGTAAATATATCGAAATTGCATATTGATAATATTATTTTGGTGTTGTTAAAATGATCTCAATAAACCCATAGATAACAATGGTATCTATACCTAACTTAACGGCAAAATGTACATTACAATATCAAATTTACCATTATTTGCTTTTATTTTACCCACTCATAATCTATATGTATTATCGGTTTGTCAATGGATAGAAAATGCTCAAAACACTCAAATAAGACTAAAGATCATCCTTATTATTTTTGTGTATAACGAGAACAAAAAAAAAAGCCCTAATGTATAAATGTATAGTACACACCTCTTCTTGTTTTACTGGCTACAATGAGAAAATGTTAATTTATCTAGTCTTAAGTTTTCAACAAAGTATTAAGTTTATCAATAATAATATTTATATTAAATATATTTATACTAACTGTTGTATGCTATAAATATAATGATTAACTTTTGAAGTTAAAATAAACAAAAAAGTTTTTATTATCTTTATACAGTCATCCACGATAATTTAATTTATTCTTTATACCCCATTGGCCATGGGTGTATAATGTATATTATTATAAAATGAAAAAAATATGAATTTGTATTTACACTGTTAGTCATGCTTATACTTTTTATATTTTATTATACATACAATTTAATAAGATATTAGCGAATAGTTATTTTTGCAATACTTATTTATACTAGATAAATGTTTTAAATTATTGCATTTCACTATGTAAAATACTTAAATGAAATAAAGATTTTTTTTCTATTGTTGCTATTGTAGTAAGGTGTCACTGAAATATCAATTAAAAATTTAACAATTCCTTATAAGTACTTGTTTATTAATAATATTTTTAAATAATAATGTAATTAATTGCAAAAAAATAACATGAATCATTTCATTACCACTCACTATTTTTCTTTGGAAATAGCAAATCCAAAGTCGTATTAATTCATGAAAATTCTATACTAAAATGTATTGGTAAAGAAAATATTCAAAAATTTTAAACTAGTCAAGCAAAGGTAATAAACATTTTGGATTATGTAAATTTGAAAATTTTGTTTTATAATAATATAATACAAGTACATTATTCCAGTTTCCATGAACATCGACACGCATCTCGTTATATTATAGCAATATAAGTACACCATGTATAAAATATTGTATTATTTATTTTTTTTTGATCGAGGAGTTATGTGGACATAAATTCTATGGGGCTGAGCCTTACGATCACGTGGGAACATAAATCAACGTAGGCACAATTTATGTTATATAGACGTTCAGTTTTTGCTACTACGATAGACAACAATATAATATGCAATTCTCGTAGTTACGCCGATATGTGAGAGACTGTTAGCAAGTAAAAAAAATATGTTATTCGTTTGAGCGCATCGCATAACAGTGTAGTATAGTTTAATTACCTCTGTAGACTCTAGACAAAAGCCGAACCGTTAGAGTCTGCAAAGTTTTAATTTCAAGTCGTATTCAAAACCTTTGTACTGTGTAAAAAAAAAAAAAACATGGCAACGTGATTTATTAAATAAGTTCATCTTGTAATATAACCCGCCACTATTAAAGTAACGCGAACATTTGAATCTTAAACAAGGTAACCTTCGTATACAGTTTCTGATACCTTACAGAATTTGGATCGAAAGAAATTTTTCAAATTATTACTAATTAGTAGAATTAAGTTAAGATATATTTTGCTAACAAAATAAATAAATAAATAATAATAATAATAATAATAAATGTTTTAAATTAAGCAAAATATAAACAGTGATAATATTATTATTTTTTACTACCAAAAGCTCATCATTACTTATTAATTTAACTCCTGTCATTAAAACATATTTGTTCATTCATTAAAATAATACATTATTATGGCTTATAATGTATAGGCGCGAACAGTAAAAAATTAATTTAATTACAAAAAACAAGGTGTACTAAATATATTCGATAATTATTGGAAAGTTATCTTCAAGTGTGTATTTTATTATTAGGAGGTACTTAGATAACAAAAAGTTTTGATCTCAACTATTATACAAAAAAATATAAAAACATAAAAAAAAAATGAAGTATTAGGTACTTATATTTAGACAATTTTTAGTTGAGTTGTTTGCGAATCATTACATTTTTCTTTCTATACTTTCGAAATAATCGATGATTATAATGATAAATGTAAAAGTTTAACAGATAATATCACATAAGAGATTTTTCAAAATTTAGGTGATTACGACATATCTTTGCAAAGAACAACCATAACGTAAAATATTTAACTTACAATGTGTACTTTTTTTTTTAAAAATGCCTTAACAAATTGTATATGTGGTGTATACAACTCCATAGGTTTATATTATAATTTTATTATTCATTTTCATAATATAAAAGTTTTCTCATAAAATTAAAAATATACATTTTCAAATGAAAACAGTGACGGAAGCCTCATCGACGTTCCAAACTAAATTAAATTATAAGCTACCTTCGCTTTGACTTATAAAATAAATTAAGGATAGCTCACCGTTCTCTGAATTTTTCCATAACTCTACAAGTACTAATTATACTTGATAATAGCTATAGGCGCAACTATAGCTCTAATTCTGAGAGGGATGCAAATTTTATAAATGAGACAGAGACCCACAAGACCTTTACTTCCGCACCCCCAACATGCTAATAATATTATAAATCTGTGGTAACATGGTAGAAGTTAATATGAAATTGTTTATATAACTTAAGGTAAAATACAATTTACAAATTATATGTATTATCTTCCTCTGCTTACTAGATGTATATTAACCAAAATTGAATTAAGAAAACAAAAGATATTTATTATCAATTGAGAACTTAAATTGTATTTTGTCAAAAGTTGTAGTTTTAAGCCATGACATATTATTAACTTTTAACGTCCTATCACAGAAATAATGTAAAAAGAGACACTAATTAATATAAATGTAAATAAAAGCTTAAAAGACCTGTGTATCTATGTAGTATGTATTTTATTGCTAATTTCCTATTTTTTGGAACAGTAAATTTCTAAAATATTATCAAGTACTTATTTTTAAATTAAATAAAAACTTCTAAAAAAAACTATTCAGTTCATATAAGTTATTTATTTATTTTCTTAAGATATTACAACATTTACAACATTATAATTAATTTGTATTAATAAAAAACGATAGATACGTCTTTTTACCAAAATGTATACTTAAATATTCTGAACAATTTACAGATGTTGAGCAGCTAAATACAAGCGGCCGAGTATAAAATGAATCGTTTGGGCTGTCTATGAGTTTTTTTAAATACCTACATATACCAGTATACCTCATTATTAACATGTGGAATATTAAGTTTTTTAATATTAGTTTGAAACTTAAAAATGACAAATACTTTTTCTCGATCAGTTTTATTCAAAACGTAACAAATTTAACGGTAAGCATACTTTAATTTACATAAACGTGTTTTGTTGTTTCGTAAAATTCGAAGAAATAGGAATTTACCACGGTGTGTTACTTATTTTGGATAACATAAACTGAAGCACATGACATGAATGAAGCGGCCACGAGTTGTGATTACAGGCAGTTCACTATTAGACATACCACTGTTATAAAACTGTTGATACCGTGGCGTCAACTAAAGTTACTAACCCACTGTTATGTTTTTTGAAGTGAAAATGTTTAATTGTGTCTATCACTAAATCAAACACATTGATAACGTAATAAAATGATAAATACAAATCTTTTTTTTCTAATATAGTTTATTTTAATTTATTACAGTAATACTAAGTAAACAGTCCTCAAAATTGATTTTAATATACTAAAAATACTTTAAAAAACTGTAAGGCTAAGCATTCTAAGTCCCTCCTCTATTTACGCTTATGAGTATAGCTACTCTAATTATTTGATTAAGTTATGTAATGAGAGTTATAATTTTTGAAAGAAAAACAAACAATTTGTTATAAAAAAACTAATAATAAAATGTATAATCGTCTAAAATTATGTATACGCAAGGTCCGTAGAGTACGTAGAAATATTAGTTGATAGTTTATAATTCATAGAAATTCTTTGTATGCAATTCATATTATATAAAGCCAAATCCATCGAGGTTAATTTAGATTAAATTAATCACTATAACTAGGAATATTCATGGTTTTAATTTTTTATGGAAGTTTCAATTATATAATTTGTTTATGATTATTACAATTATTACTGTATAGATACCATCTAACGAATGCACGATTAAGACATTTAGATTTCAGTTTAGGTAACTTGTAATATTTACTTATTAGCTATAATTAATCGCGCAATGTTTTAAAACGCAATATTTTATAATTAAATTTCTAAATAATGCCAAAACTCCGAGAACCCAAAATACAATTAGGTTAGGATCACACTATGCGTTTTGTCGGTTCCCGATCAACCGGAGCCAAACCGCAACACTCTAAAATAAAATAGGTTTAAATATAAAACGCGTTATCAGGGCCAGACTAGACCGATTTACGGAACCGATTAAAAACCGTCGGGAAGCGACCGCAACGTGTTGCGGCCCAACCGTCCGGTTGCGTTTCGGGATGTAAAGCACAACACATGCAATGCAATTTGTCCGATCACATTTGTGCGGATTATCGGTAACCGAAATTGAAAATTTTATGAATAATTAATAATCATTTTTAAATTTAAATAATTAAAAAACTTAAAATATATTTGTAATATACATATATATATATTATATTTTATTTATATTATAGATGTATATTATTATTTATTAGCATAATTAGTTGATACACGTTTTAAATAAAAACAAATAATTCTAATTACACAACCTTTTTATTATTTTTTTACTTATAATACTAGATACATTTCGTTTAAATAAAAAAT